AGCAACTGCCCTGGGTGCAGGGCTGCCCTCCTACACATCTTAAAAATTACTACTGTAAGCAATAATAGAATTAATTTTGTTGTATATTAGGCCTCAGTCCTGTAAAGAGCTCCACATGAGGGAACATCAGCAATAATAGGTTCTATTCAGGGGTTTTCACTAGAGGTGCGGTTTGATATTGGATCAGTATCAATCTAAAGAAAATTGTCTATATTGGATATCAGCCCGATAAATGCCTGCGCTGTGTGCAGCTGCAGTCCAACACAAAGCAGAGCTGTCAGCATGGAGAGCCACCTCCAGCTGGTAAGTCGGAAGGGGAGGGGGAAGGGAATGGGTGGGGGGGGGCAGATCAAGGCCCCCCCATGGTGAGGGAAGAAGCAGGAGCAGGGACAGGAACTGCCCAGCTGTGGTGGGGGGGTGGGACAGAAGCACGGCTCATGGGGTGGGGGCAGCTCCTGCTGCCACTGGCACCCTGGGGGAGGGGGGGGCATGTGCCCCTGGATCTGCCTGGCATGGGGCAGGCTCCAGCTGTGGGGTGGAGTCGGAGCCTATGCTGTGCGGGGCTTTTCTTGCCAGGGGTTGGACTCAGAGCAGGCTCCAGTGGCACTGGGAGGAGGCTGCTGCCACTCTAAACTTTGCCGCAGTTCTGCTTCCAGTCCCACACTGCTGCCCAGTGCAGCTCTGGCTACAGCCTCCTCCCAGCACCACTGGCGCCCACTACAAGCCTAGCCCCCAGCAAGAAAAGCCCCACACAGCGCCAGCTGCACCCCACAGCTGCAGCCCGCCCTGCGCCACACAGATCTGGGGGCCCACTCCCCCACCCTGGCCTCCCAGGATGCAAGTGGTGGTGGGAGCTACCCCCACCCCATGAGTTGCGCCTCTGTCCTGTGCCCCCCTTCACCCCAGCTGGGCAGTGCCTGCCCTGTTCCCTCCCTCACCGCAGGAAGCATTGATCTGCCCCCACAAGCCCTTTCCCTCCCCTCTCCCCTTCCACCACACCAGATTTACCACCTGATGGCAGCTGTATTGGATATTGGATCAGTATCAGCCAATATGCCTCCTTAAATATCGGCTATCGGTATTAGCCCCCAAAATCTCTATCAGTGCATCCCTAGTTTTCACCCTTCTATAAGTTGCCACATCAAAGGAAGACATATATAAGATTGTTAATTGCCAGAGCCCTTATGCTCTGCTATGTAAAAAAATAAATAAATAAATCCCAACGGTTAAATTTGAGATGTGCCTAAGAATCCACACTGAGGGATTAAGAGTTTAGAATCATTCATTTCTATTTTAAAAGAATATGCTGAAAATATCACTTCAGCAGTTTTGTCATTCATAGAATCATAGAAAATTAGGGTTGGAAGAGGTCTTAAGGGGTCATCTAGTCCAACCCCCTGCTCAAAGCATGACCATCCCCAACTAGACCACTCCAGCCACGGCTTTGTCAAGCTAGGCCTTAAAAACCTCCAAGGATGGAGATTCTACCATCTTTCTAGGTAGCCTGTTCCAGTGCTTTACTACCCTCCAGTTTTCTTTTCTGCAGATTAAATAAGTCCAGTTCCCTGAGGCTCTTCTGACAAGTCATATGACCCAGCCCCCTAACCATTTTCATTGCCCTCCACTGGACTCTCTCCAACTTGTCCACGTTCTTTCTGAAGTTTAGTGAAAATAAAGAGTTTTATGTCACTTCTCTTTTTGAAAACCAAACTTGTATGTGACAGATTTCTTGTCCCTAATCATCCAAAAACATACATCATGTAGATAGAAAACATAAGAATGTAAGAAATGCCATAGTGGGTTAGACCACAGATCCATCTCACTCAGTAGTCTCTTTCTCACCATGGCATGACTAGATGCTTCAGGGTAAGAGTATTTGTGTTGAGGTATAGGTTGTAGCTAGGTTGGTCTAAGAGTATAGGCAGACAAGGCCCAAAACGCACTTAATGGATCCAGGCCATGCCATGCCAAGAAATCTAAAACCTGACAATATATCTCCACCACCCCCACAACAGAACCTTCAGCATTGCTGAATGAATGCACGCTGGAAATCTATCAAAGACAAGAACTGCTAATTACCTGTGGGGGCACATTTATCACAAGAAAAAACACTCTCTCTCCAGTCTCTCAGTTCTAATCCTCAAAGGGAATTTACAAAACACCTTTCACAGATGACCCTACAAACTTCACTTCATCATACTACTGGATCAAAAAATCATGGACTAAATATAGACATTGGATTTATGACATAACTGCCTAACATCTGACTCCCCAGGTACCTCTCCACTATTTACCAGCTACATTCATCCTTCCCAACCTGTCTCTCACCCATTGACTTTTTAATTTACATTGTCACTGACTGGTTTTCTTGCCCCCTGGCTGCTTTACTATTCATTCCATCCAGAAAGACCACAGACCAATTGCAGATGCTTTCTCAGCCTGAAGAATGGTGTTTGTGCTCAAAAGCTTGAAAAGAAAAATAATGTCTAATAAAAGACATCTGATTTACTCAAAGAACCTTCTCTGCCAGAGTATTTACATAAAACCTATCCAGATGATCTATACCCTGCCCCTCTCCTCTGTGGCTTCCAGGTTAAGATGTCTAGGAAATCCTGATTTTGAGATTACACTCAAAACTATCATATCTAATAGCAACTGGTGGACCTCTGATTTTTTTTCCAGTTCCCTCTTGAACTGATTAAATTATCAGCCATCACAATACCTTGTGGCAATGAGTTCTGGGAGTTAATTATACAGTCAAACTCTTAACAGGATAAGGTATTTCTAAAATTAACACTAACTGTGGATGAACTTCAAAAAATATACCTCAGTCTATTAGGTGATATAATATTGCCAACATTAGAAATACCAGAATCAGATAAATCATATGATTTTTTCCACAGTGTATTTCATATTCAATATGAAAGCAAGTATATATGCAACACTTCTAATGAGTCTATATATCTTTACAATCTAAATAATACACTTTACAATTTTAAATAAAATAAAAAGGATTGAATTAACCACTTTAAAAATAGACACCCTTCTGGAAAGAACATAGCAGCCATTTAGTACTGCTTAGCAGCACTGCATAACATTTTGGGAAACAAAATGAAGAATACTGTCTCCAATTGAAACTTCCAGAGAAATTTTATTTCAAATTTGACAAGGATACTTGTTAAAAATCCACATCTTATGTGAAAAATGCTAGGGAATCATTTAAAATCCCAAGTTTCCACATCTTCTGTTTCATATTGTATCACAAATATGGCACCTTTAGCACCCTGTACTCCCTGTCTAATGCTTGCATTGCTTCATAACTACTCAGTACTGCCTACTGAATCACCAAAACCACTTCCTGCAGCAGTTTTACTTGTTAAGACTCTTATCCAAGTACTGACCAAACCCAACCCTGCTTAGCTGCATAAAATCATAGCCTTAGGTGATATGACTGAAGCATAAACAGTGAACATCTGTCAACTTGGCTGAAAGTTAGGAATCTCATTGCTTTCTCCAGTGGTAGCTCCTACTTTCCAAATCCTTCACAGAATAGAGCCTCACATTCAGCTTTACCTTCACACAGGACACTAGACACTTCAATAGGTTTCTTGCAAACATTTCCATTCCTTGCTAAGAGCTATGCTGGGCTATGATGAAAAAACAGTGGTCACATTGCATAAGCCTTGTTAAAGGTGAGGCTTATTTCCTCTGCTCTAAGCAATGGAGGTTGAATAGCTATTAAAATTCATAAATAACAAGTAGAGATCTGAAGAAGTATATACAAATTCCATGATTAGGTTACATCATGAATAAATGTACATGTTTCTAACTTTACAAATGCCTTTGTCAAGCCTAAGTACTGGTCCTAAAGTGAGGCTTTTAAGTAAAAGTTAAATGAGCCCTAATTATGCATCTAGAAACCTCACCTTAGGTAAATGTAGTCTAATTTTAAGGGTGTTAAATATCTACAACCATTGGCTTCAGAAGAAGACAGAGGTACTTAGCACCTTTGAAAATCATGTAACAAACTGTATAAATTCTGGTCTGTGTTCCTGTTTGGAAGAAAGTAATACCAGGCTATTCCTGGTCTCTGCATATAGCTAGAATACATAGGCTGTGCTCAGAGCAGTTCTGTTAGTATTCCTGCCCCCACACTATCCAGGGGCTGCACTGTAGCTCCTACTGCAGCTTGAGTGCTATACTAACATGCCCAGCAGCTTTGTCCTCTCTACCACAGAAGGGTGATGACATCCAAGTAGTTCTGCACAGAGGTGGGTGCACCGCACACACATTGCACTTCCTCTAACCCTGGAAAATCTTTTTCACAGAACCAGATGACAAATGGGCAGAATACAGCCCTACAGAGAACACAAGTTTCAAACCTTCTGTGCAAGCTCTCTCAGCATCCCATTCTCTGTATGCAAGGGAAGACTTGTGTTTCCAATAGGTAAGGTAGTATGCATGCATGGGGAGAGGTCTTTAGAGGAGAGCAGAATTTGTTAGTTTTGTTTTTGTCTTGACAATTGTGCTAAATATGTGGTGTTATTTAATTACAATAAACTTATGTTGTTATTGCTTTAAAATAGCTTTCTTCCCTGTTTATGCTAGTGAAAAGTAAACCTTCTAAAACAATGCATTTCATAATGCAATGCAAGAGTTTACAACAATAGGATCCTGCTGGATTTGACATGAATATATCACTCCCCCATCCCTCAGCAAATTATTTTGCTGGAGGCTACATCATTCTATCAGCGGTGTGCTGGGAGTTGACGGAGGCGTGAATAATTCACCATGTACAAAGCCTAGCTGAACTGAGTTGAGCTGCAGCATGTTGGCCTGGCCTTTGATGCAGACTGGTTGGGCAGGTTCCTGTTCTACTGAGAAACTGGTTTGGCAGGCTTGTTATGCCAACAAAATCTGGTATGATTCCATGTTCTACAGAATGTAGAAACCTGCCCAGCCAGTTAAATGAAAGGCATATTAGGTTATCCATTGCACATTGTATATATCTTAGGTGTAGCAGATCTCGTCTCAGCATTCTTCAGTGTGGTCCACAGTGAATTCCTCATCTCACTTATGCTTTAGGTTTATAGCTTGAGGGGAAGTCAGCAGTAAGTATTCACCATCCCTGATCAAGAACAGAACCTTTCACAATTAAAACAAAAGGGTGAGTTTTAAAAATGTTTTTTAAAAGTCATTTAAGGAAATCTAACTCCGAAATTCAGTGTTACTGCACTTAAATTTGTAGTGTGGATGTTTTTTGTATGGATCTGTTTACTATATACCATTAGCTCCAGCTTCTGTGTTTCTAAATGACATCATTTATATAACTTCTGACACTTCTGTATGTAGGTAAGTATCAGCTATTCCATCTTTATCTAATAACATTTAATGGAGAGACTTGTCTAATGAATTGTACAGTAGTGGGAGACAGAAATACCTGAATACTAATCAGGGTGTTGCCATTGACTTGGTGTATGAACTTGGGCAGGTCACTTAACTGTCTTGAGAGAATGATCTCAGAGGGGTATTGTGACAAGGTAAAGTGCTATAAGGCACTAATGTTGATACTATTATCTATTTCTTGTTAGACCAACACTTTTATTTTAAATTTTCAGGTTTATGGAATAAGTTACTTGGCAAAATTTGGTTTAGTACATGCATAACTGACTTAGTGGTGAGTGTTGAAAGCAAACTGTTTCTTAAAAATAAAGTACTATTATTAACTTTCCCTTACTTACCAAATAAAGGCTTCACAAACATGTTTTGCATATAATAAGTAATTCAGAGTAGCAAACAAATAGAAATGAATCCAAATAATAAACCTACTCCTGGCAGTGCTGAAATTTGTGAGGGTTTGGGCTCTGGATCATTTACAGGCACAGTGTCAAATAAGAAAAATTAAATGGCATAGAAAACAAAAGCTCTGGAATCTGGTAACTGATTAACTACTGGAACTCAGGAAGTACTAGCTGAGCTGAATAGAAAGGAATGAAGACAGGTTTTGTCATGCCTGTTAGGACAAAATGATTCTTTAGCTGAAGTAAATGTGAATCTTCCTGTCATCTGTGTAACTAAACTTTTGAAAACCATCTTCTAACCACTTTCATGTCCCCAGGAAGCTTATTTTAGTGTCTTTAGATAAAATAATTACAGTTTGCCTGTGTGATGTAATGAACAATTTTGTGCCTGATGAATTGTATTTTAGTGTTGCTTAAGGGAAATTAAGGTATGTATAGGAGTATGTGAGAATCAAGATGATAATCTTGTAACAGAACCCTTATCATGGTAAGTATTTACTATATTCTATTTACAGGTTGATGTAAAAATGTACATCTTGTTTATAACTCTTTGGTAGAATACCAGTAAATAGGCTTCCTGAGCACCTAAAAGCTCTGAATGGAAGGCTGAAATAACCTTCTCACTGGTAGCACTGAGTCTGCTTGTTAAAACTAGAGATTTTTCTTCAAAGTGCGGGAAAAAGAGCAAGAAGAAATAGATGTTTCTTCTGTATAGGCTGAGAATACTGTTAAGAAGAAATAGTTTAATTTTAGGGGTTAAAACATCCGATTGCTGATGAAAAGGTATAAATCATTAAAGGAAGTGTTGCATATTTTAAAGAATATGTAATTTTCCCAAAATAGGGAACATGAATAACCAGTTAAACTGCTCATTATCTGATGTACATTTTGTCAGGTGATAAGTTTAATTCATAAAAATATTTCCTGCATCTGTTTTGGTAGTAGTGTGTGTATAGCAAATGTTTCTGACCCAGTATTCTAGTTAATGGTAATTGAATAGCATTGTGTTCTAGTGATAAGAGAATGAGTTAGACATTCCGTTCATTACAGTCATGGTCTGCCTCTCCATCTCTTTGTGCATAAGTTCCCTTGCTATAAAATTGTGGTGGTAATACTTTGCAGGAGACTAAATTAATTAATGTCTCCAAAGAATTTTGAGATCCTTAGATGAAATGTACCACACCAGTATAGTAAAAGAGTACCATTATTTGCATTCTTACTCTAGTAGTATATCAATGCTTGCCTGAAGCCCTGCTATTGAAAAAGGAGATTGGAAAGAAATGTAAGTGCTTAATTTGTTCTTATTCAAAATCTACTATGTACCCAGTAGAAGACACCTTCTAAACTATAAAATGTTTCTATAGTGATTTGTTTTCCAAGTCTTGAGCCCTGGAACAGAGCACATTTGTTAAATTCCAACTAAATAGTGAGCCATGTGAATTAATGGTTGCCCACGCTCCTAAAGCAACTAGTTTTGTGTTTTAGTGTTGGCAGGAGTGTCTGTTTTTGACAGATATGCCATATATTATATATGGCTTTGACATTTTTTCCTCTAAAATTCTCATCATTCACATATAAAGCAACATGACTTCTGGGCTGGTAACCTTTCATGATTTTCCAAGGCTGGAATAAACACATTATGCCATTAGAACAGCTACACAGTACTTATACACTTAGGATTCCTCTCTGGATTATATTAATAAAACTCAGGCACATTGCTGCTTAGAGTCTTTGAACCAAGCTCACAGGAAAAAAATGGATAAATAGTATCAGGCTGATTAAATGGAGAAGGATCAGACCAGTAGTGAGAGAGACTATTTTGGAGGTAACTATGGCTGCGCTAGTCTGGATGTGGCAATGTGGTATGTGGTGCTGCATACATGTCTGCAGTGCTGCATACCACATGTTCAGTTGTTCTCTGTGTTGCAAGGGAGAAGCATGGAGGGATTTTTTGACCCCTGGACACCAAGGGTCAAAAAAACCTGTGGAGAAAAGAAATGGAGTGACACACAGTGGCAGCATGGGCTGCCCGAAGTGGAGCCTGGCCAGCCAGAGCTGCATTCTGCTGCTGGCCAGGCTCTGCACGGCAGGGTTACCACTGCTGCAGCCCTTGGAGGCCCCCAGAACCCTAACTAAGGCTGCTGGGGCCAGACCAGTCCTGGCCCCAGCCTCCCCTACCCTACCAGGGGTAACTTGATGCATGCCAACACGTGCATGACAGATGTTCCCTGGGGACTAGCAGCAGCGCAAGGTGCACCACCGCTAGTTGTCCCTAGGGAACCAAATGTCCATACATATCTAGACATGGCCTATAGGTCCAGTCCTTCCAATAAGTACTTACTTACAAGTAGTCCTTTTGGAGCCACTGAACTAAGCACTATCTTTAGTAGTCAGTATATGTAGGATTGGATGGTATCTAACTGTGTGCTTATATGCTAGCTATCAGTGGTCCTACTGCTTCTATTCCATACACTACCATGATGCCTGAGCAATGTGGAGGTTATGGTGCTAATATAACTCTCTCTCTCATCCCTTCCTCATGTGGGTTAGTAGTTCTAGAGCAAGAGGGTTAAGAATAATGTTTTAATGCCAAAAACCAATGCTACAAGTAAGTTTATTGCATTTATTTACATGTATAAAATCATATGGGTGTTGTCCTCTTGGTGCTTTAAGTTAACAGTTGACTAAAATTTATAGTCAGTGAAATCAAGCAACACAAGAAATCCAGCAGCAGCTCCACAAAATAACTAAAGACACTCACCACCATGTGGTCAGTTAAGTACATTCTCCATAGCCCTAAGCACCACATTTAAAGCAGCATTTTCCTCCTCCATTACTAGTAGTATGCATCTGTCTGTCTCATGGGACAACAGAATTACTCTGAAACATCTGCTTGCAAAACATAATTCTCACTTTAAAATAAACTGAAGTGGGAATGACCTGTCCAGGGTGCAAATGCCTAGGCAGAGTATATGGAGACATTGAATAGTCTACACACCAGTGTCCCCCTCTGGGCCTTGCTGGTTTAATCCAAAGGCAAGGCAAGTGCCAGCATGTTTAGAACTAGCTTGGCTGCAGGACCTGGTCCTCCATTAAGATTCTCTTAAAAACCTGAGACTTCCAGCATGCCCTAAACCTGAACATATTCTGGCTGTTTCAGACCAAGGGATCAGAACCTGTGACAGCATTCCACAGGTCATCATAGAGAACAGCAATTCTCTACCATTAATCTGGAGGAAGAAGCTGTTAGTAACAGCAGGGAGTTTGATGCTGACTTGGTTTCAAAGGGTATGCAGGTATAAGGAGGGTCTCTCTGAGCAGGAGAAGAAGGTGGTTGAGACATCCATCCTCACTTCCCTACCAAGACCAACTGCTATCTCCACCACAGGACTGAACTCTGCCTACTCTTCTATAGAGGGCTGCCAGTTTCTAGACTGTAAATTCAGATACCATCTAGGCAGTAATCCAAAGCTGTTTTGTGGTCTGATCCAATACCTCTAGAAAGAGACCTATCCACAAAAATACCACAACACTGCAGCTAGATTTGAAGTGGATTTTTTCCCAGGTATTTTTAAAATATATAATTGAAAGCTAGTTTTATCTTTGTATCAACATTAAGCTAATAAAAATGAGAAATTCTGAACAGTCAGCTAACCTATTCTAGTCACTTTACCTGCATATCTGGTAAGCAGTCAGTGTCCTAAGAATACCTAGTAAACACTCATGCAGCACCCACGTTATCAGTACAGTAATGGGGTTTTATTATATTTGTGCTACAGCATTTTAATAATATCATTTCAACCCATATCTTGATCAATTTTCTGGTAATCTAGGTCATCCAAGGACAGACATTAACAGGAACTGTAATTGACAACTAACAGCTCCATACGCAGAGAGAAAGTACACTTTTTAAACCAGTGAACACTCCTGGGTTAGAATTAAGCTAGATTCCACCTCCCATTTCAGAATTGTTTTTACTTAAGTATTCCATCACTTAAATGAATGTGTCATGTTAAGGGTTACTTTGAAATCTGGACATGAGCCATGAAGCCACAGAAACTTACAAATCTGTTCAAGTGTAACAATGCCAGAGTCTCTTTTCCCACAGTTTTATTGTCTAGGTATGGATGTTTCTTCTTGTTATATGAAATGACTAGTTCAACTATTAAACATAAACATCTAGTGTAAATGAATTTGGAACAACATCATTTTCAGTAGTTCATTAGCACATTTAATGAGATGGGAATCTACTTTGTTGTGACCAAGTATGTGATCTTGGATCACATTTTTCTGCAGAGTCAAATAAATCTCTCCATAATGGAAAGAAAGCGTGGAAGGAAAAGTTCACTTTAAAACATTTTTCAAGTACTGTGGTAGGCTGACACTTTTATCACTTACTGCAGTGTAAAATTGGATAACACTGTTGAAGTCAGTGATATTACACTGCTGTAAAATTCCATAAAAGTATGCACCACAGATTGATGCAGAGAAGGAAAATGCTGAAATAAGCATGTAGTTATCATTACTGACAAAGTGGTGCCTAGTTCTAGCCTTACTGTGCCATACTGGGACTTGCTGTAGCCTTAATGCAATACTTTTTCCACATCGGAATCATACTATCTATGGTAACCTTAGCACATCTATTTCTTTTTTTGTATATATAAGGGGATTTTTTTTAACTTCTTCAGTAGAACCATCAAGATTTCCCTAAACATTTTAACTGAATATTATATGTATGAATTTGGAAGAGAATTAAAATTTGAACTTGACCTTGAACTTTATTCAGATTGTACAACTAAAACTACAAGAAGCAGAGTTTTGTGCTTGTATGTGCTATATTTGTCTCATCCCACAAACTTTGAGATTAACAGAAACT